GTCCTTCTTGAGAGTACAGGTGCCTCAGCAAAGGTGCCCTTGCCTTTTGATTTACTTTATCTCGGCGCAGTGGATTGTTGTTGTTGCTTGTTTTGTTTTATTGTTGCTCCTGCTGGTGTTTAAAGGAGCCCAACACCCATCGCAATAAAAGCCATGTGGAAAGATGTCTTAAGACATGCTGTTTTGTTTCTTGCTCACCACACTGCTCACACCTTTTTCTTTTGTGCATTGAGTAAAGCTGGGAGTAGAATTTCATTTGACCACTTGCCTTAATTTCAGAGTTAAACATTTATGTTGATTAAGAGTAATCAACATGGGGACAGAGGCATGACAGCATAGCTTCCTGCTCTTCTAGGCCTGTCCCCAGCAGCCACATCAGAGGGCTTACAAGCCATCTGTAACTCCAGTGCCAGGTGACTTGACCTCTTCTGGATTCTGGGAGCACCTGTACCTAGGTGGTATAGCGTATATTCATTCACTCACCATTCATTCATTCATTCATTCATTCATTCATTCATTCTCTCACAAAATAAGTCTTAAAAAAGGAATAATGTTTGGGGCTGATGAGATGACTCAACAGATGAATAAAAGCGCTTCCACCAAGCCTCATGGCTTGAGTTCAATCCCTGGGAACTACATGGTGGAAGAAGAGGACCTACTTCTTAAAATTGTCCTTTTTCTAACACAGAAATCCCCCCCCCCCATGAAATTTCAAAAAAATTTTAAGACTAGTATGTGGGGCCAGTGAGATGGCTCAGTGAGTACAAGCTAGGCAAGCCTGGTGACAGGAGTTAGAGCCCTGAAACCCGTGTAACAGCTCTGGATACAGTGGCTCACTTCTGTAATCCTAGTGTTCCTAAGTAACTTCTAAGCAGAGCTAGAAGTTCCAGGGATTTCAGGAGTCAGCCTGGCTTATGAGGCACAGCAAAAATAAGAGAGACCTTGCCCCAGTGAGGTAGAAGGAGAAAATCAACTGTGAGTTGTCCTCTGACTCATATACACATAATAGTAACAATAATAAATAAATAGTCTAGGCTTGGCTCATGCCTTCAGTCCTAGTACTGGGGTAGGGTGGCAGAAACAATTGGATCTCTGTGACTTTAAAGTCCACCTAAGTTTCAGGCCAGCCAGGCTACATAGACCTGTCTGAAAACAAATACTGTTTTAAGCATAAATGTCAAGACAGGTCTGGTGGCTCGTGCTTCTAATTCCATTTGCGTTTAAGGCCAGTCTGGACCATGTAGTAAGACTTTGGTCCAACAAAACTAGAGTGTATGTTTCCCAACACCACCAAATTTTTTTTAAATAGTAAGTGTCATACAAAAACATTTAATTGCCAACCATGGTTTCAGCAGGGCAACAAGTAAAAGACATTTTGGTAGGTGTGCCTTGGTTGGCTAAACATTAGCAAGGGAGTCCTCTGCCCTCAATGATCTAAAACCATTTTCTTAGTGACAGGTGCTTTGCTATCACCTCTGTACATTGTCCTGGTACTGACCAGATTACCCTGCTCACACTCACTGCCTATGAAAATCATCCTGAATTATATTAGTGGGGACAGACTGGAATAGTCAGAGTTCTTTGTGAAGAGACGCCGTATAAGATAGCATTGCTATATAGTCAGAATATTCTCCTCATGGCAAATACTGTGATGCACACTTCAAATTCCAGTAGTTGGGAGGCCAAGGTAGGAGTATCATAGACTGAAGCCTATTTGGGCTGCATCCCAAACCCTTTTTCAAAAAACAGCCATTGGGCTGTTGGATTGGCTCAGTGAGCAAAGTGCTTGTTCCAAAGCCTGGCAGCCTAACTTTGACCCCGGTGCTCAAATAAAGCCGGAAGGCAAGAACTGAGTCTGCAAAGTTGTCCCCAGATCACATGTACATACACAATTTTTTAAAAGCCTAGCCTGGGAAAGGTTGCCAGGGCTTTGAAGCCAGTTTAGCCTATATAATAATAGAATTCCAGATCACCTTGGACTGCAGAGTGAGAACCTGCCTTAATTTTTTTCTAAAAAAATAATTTTGTTTTCTTTTTTTTGCACCTGGATGTTTTGGCTGCATTAATTCTGTGTATCAGATGTGATTAGTACCCTCAAAGGCCGGAAGAGGGCATCAGACCTGGGACTGGAGTTACAAATTGGTTGTGATCCATTGGTGCTGGGAATTGAAACCAGGTCTTTTTCAGCCAGCGTTTTTAACTATCGAGCTATCTCTCCGGCTCCTTTTCACATTTTTTACACTTATTATTTGCTTTTATGTGTACATGTAGGTGGGCACATGAGTTAACTGCATATTTAGCAACCAGAGAGTAATCTGTATAAGTCAACTCAAGTTGTAAGGCTTGGTAGTAAGAACCTTTATCTGCTAAGTCACGCTGCTAGCTCCCCAATGTATTTATTTTTTGTTTTCAAGATAGGGTTTCTCTGTATAGCTATCCTAGAACTTGCTTGGTAGACCAGGCTGGGCTTGAAATTACAGAGATCCACTTGCCTCTGTCTTGAGAGTGCTGGGATTAAAGGCATGCATAACCACAACCTGTTTAAAATTTTTTAAATAGTTTATTTTCATTTCATGTACATTAATGTTTTGCCTGCATATGTGGGGGAGTCCTGGAACAGGAGTTACAGACAATTGTGAGCTGCCATGTGGGTGCTAGGAATTGAACCTGGGTCCTCTGGAAGAGATGCCAGTGCTCTTAACAACCAAGCCATCTCCAGCCCCTTTCAACTTTAATAAGTAAGAATTCAGGAATTTTTTTAAAAAAGCTTCCAAAAATCATCTCTGTAGGCCTATCCTTAGAACTGTTGAGTTCATGTTGCAGTTTTTCTGAAATATGTTTATGTAGATGGAGTATGTAAGCCCTCCAAACTGTATCCCCCAGTTCTAGATATTGCGGAAATAAGCTCTGTATGTCAGACATATTTGTGTCATGAGTTTTAAGTGTTTCTACTAGGTTCTTTCTCTTGGATCCTTGACGTGTTACCAGACATTGGTTGGGGGTGGATGGGGTTGAAGGTGCAGGGTCTGAACAGGTACCCAGGCTGTGCCCCACCTTGGATAGCTGAGGGTGACACAGAACATCTGATCTTCTTGCATACACTTTTCTGAGTGTTAGCATTGTGGACGTGTACCACCATACCCAGTTTATGTGATGCTAGGTATCAAAACCAGGGCTTCATGCACCCTAGACAAGCATTCTTCCAACAAAGCTGTCTCCTTAGTCCCAATTTTCATGTTTTTGATATAGGATCTTATGTACAATGCTGCCCTTAGGGTGACCTTGGAGCTCCTGATCTTCTGCCTCCAGAGAATTGATTCAAGAGGTGCTGGGATTAAAGGTGTACACTATTACTGCCCAGCAAAAATTGGTTTTTAACTAGTTAGCTTAGAGGGTTTTTGTTTGTTATGTTGGGGAGGGTGTTGCTATTTTTTTTTTTTTTTTCCTGTTTAAGCCCTTTTTTTTTTTTTTTTTTTTTTTTTTTTTTTTTTTTTTAGCTTTTAGATAAAAAATGGAAGTCTTGGAGTTAGGTGGCTCAGAGGTTAAGAGCACTTACTGCTCTTGCAGAGAGGACGGCTTTGGTTCCCAGCACCTACATAGTAGCTAAGAACCACCTGTAATTGTAGTTCCCGGGTATCCAGTACCTCTCCAGCCTTGTACACACATGGTGCATGTATGTACACTCAGGAAACACACATACATGCATATTTTTAGAGGACAGTCTTGGGCAGGAGATTGGGAACACATACTCCTCTTAAGGTCTCTAGTTCAGTCCCAGCATTTTCGTCAGGCAGCTCACAACCCCCTGTAACTCCAGCTACAGGGTATCCACCTCCCTCTTCTGAACTCTGTAGGCACTTGCATAATGTGCACATACCTCCACATAGACACACATTCATAAAAGTAGTCAAATCTTTGGGTCTGAGGAGATGGCTTTGTGTAGGAGCACTTGCTGCTTCTTGCAGAGGACCTGGGTTCAGTTCCTTGCACACACATGGCAGCACAGAAGAAGCCATCTGTAATTCAAATCCTGGAGAATCTAGTGCCATCTTTGGAATTACATGATGCAGTGATGGTAACGTGTGTGCTTAGAGTAGCTTTCAGGCTTTTCTCATCTCTTTCTCAAACAGGGATCTATTAAAAGGAGAGCTTGGGCAGAACACTGTGTACATGATAAATAAGTCTTAAAAAAATAAAAAGGAGAGCTTGCACTTGGGAGGCAGATGCTGGTGGGTCTCTGAATTTGAGGCCAGTCTGGTCTACAGAGCGAGTCCAGGACAGCCATGGCTACACAGAGAAGCCCTGTCTTGGGGTGGGGAGGAGGAGAGCTTGAGGCCAGGTCTGTATGCCTTTAATTCCACCACTTGAGAGGCAGCAACAGGTGGATCTCTATGATCTGTGTGAGCCTGGTCTACAGAGTGAGTTCCAGGCCAGCTAAGGCCTCACAGACCTTGTTTCCAAATAACCAGAGGGGCAAGGAGCAGAACTTTCTATCTTTCCTGAGACTGCAGAGTGTATTAGGTTACTTTATTTATGGGCTAGCAGAAGGACATAGAGAGTAAGAAAGTGCCTGTGTTGAACTCTTAGCAAGCCAAGCGGCCCGGTCTGTCATGGCCTTTTCTCTTTTCTCCGTGGTGATGGCCATCTTTCTTTCCAGAGGATGCTTATTTTATATATTTTATGTGTGGGTGTTTTGTCTGCATGGATGGCTGTGCATTACGTGGGTCAGATGCCTAAGGAGCTGAAAATGGGCATTGAATTCCTGGGACTGGAGTTAGAGCCGTTGTGAGTCACCATGTGGGTGCTGGGAATGGAACCTGGTTCCTTTGGAAGAGGGTGCTCATTCTAAAGGGTGATACCCATTTAGGCTGTGAAGAAAGAATTTTGTTTTTGTTTTTTTCAGTGTACTATTTTTTTGCTGGTCAAATATTGACTAACTATGAGAAATGCATAAAATCTGTAGTGTATCTTCAAATAACAGTCTGCTCTGTTTTTTCCAGGAGTGAGTCCCTCCAGGCTCCGAATAGGAGATCAAGAATTTGATTCATTGCCTGCTTTACTGGAATTCTACAAAATACACTATTTGGACACTACAACATTGATAGAACCAGTTTCCAGATCCAGGCAGGGTAGTGGAGTGATTCTCAGGCAGGAGGAGGCAGAGTATGTGCGAGCCCTCTTTGACTTTAATGGGAATGATGAAGAAGATCTTCCCTTTAAGAAAGGAGACATCCTGAGAATCCGGGATAAGCCTGAAGAGCAGTGGTGGAATGCAGAGGACAGCGAAGGAAAGAGGGGGATGATTCCAGTCCCTTACGTGGAGAAGTATAGACCTGCCTCCGCCTCAGTATCGGCTCTGATTGGAGGTAACCAGGAGGGTTCCCACCCACAGCCACTGGGTGGGCCGGAGCCTGGGCCCTATGCCCAACCCAGCGTCAACACTCCGCTCCCTAACCTCCAGAATGGGCCCATTTATGCCAGGGTTATCCAGAAGCGAGTCCCTAATGCCTACGACAAGACAGCCTTGGCTTTGGAGGTACATAATGTGCAAAATGTAGAAAGACGAGATCTGCTGCAGGGTCTCCCTTTCAGACCTCTTCCAGCTTTGTAGGAATGCTGATGCAGCACCAGCTCTGTGATGCTGTACATGTTGCCATTAAGTACTGATTTTGGCATTTTATGTGGGTTTTCTCTTTTTTAGAGAAAACCTATTTTGTAATGAGTAAATTTAAAACTGTATAACTGAATGTTCTGATTGCTCTACTAAACCTACTTTGACTAATAACCACCTGAATAGGAATTAACCTGAAATAACTTTTCTCATCTATATCCTAACTTCTTTCTTGCTGTTTGTCACTGTCTTAGACAAGATGGGTTCACACAGATTAGAATGTAATAAGTGGTATGTAGCAATATACTTAAATGGGATTTTTCCATATTTTTTTTATTTTTTGAGCCTGGGTGTCTTTATGCAGCCCTGGCTATAGCTGTCCTGGACTCACTTTGTAGATCAGGGTGGCCTTGAACACACAGTGATCTGCCTGCTTCTGCTTTCTTAGTGCTGGGATGAAAGGACTGTACCACTGGGCTCAGTGCAAACATTTTTATTTTAGCAGATAGTAGGTTCTTTACTATGAATTACGTTTGTCACAAATCAGGAAAAGCTATGTGCCAGCTTTCCTCAGGCCTTGGGCTTAGTCCCTTGTGTGAGACACCCACTGCACACACATGCACAGAGATCGGCAGACAAGTAATGTATAGATGTGACTTGAGCCATGACTAAGGGTGAGTTATGGAAAACAGATTTACTTGTGTTTGTATCTTCAAGTGTTTGACACGGCAGAAGCCAGTTCTTCATAAGGATGATTTTTACCTCTAGTCACTTGTAGCCCACCTTCTCATGACCTGGCATCATTACATTTGTTCCTTTGTTCCTCTTTAGCACGCTCAGTTTTCCTCCCTCCTTTTCTGTGTTGAGAAGAGTAATTCAGGACAAAAGCTAATCTAGAGGTGGCCTGCTCTCCCGTGTTTCAGAGCCTACCAGTAGACTGACTTGAGTGTAGAATGGTAGCCGGTTCTCATAAGCGTGGCCTGAGGTTCTGTGAACACAGAGTAGCAGAGAAGGGGAAGAATGCTCTTCTGATTTGGCTCTTCTCTTTCCTTTGGGTTGTGCCCTACAGTAAGGAGTAGGACCTGCCTGTAAGTGAGAGTGTTAGAATGAGCTGAAGTTTATTTGAATCAGACTCTGATGTTATGCATTTGAATTTTTAAATTTTATTTTCACTTTATGCAATGTATGTTTTGCCTGCATGTATGCCTATGTGCCACATGCCCACAGTGGCCAGAAGAGGGCATTGGATGAACTGGAGTTACAGATTGTAGGTGCTGGCATTCAAACCCTGGTCCTTTAGAAGAGGCAGTTGCTCTTAACCACTGAGCCATCTCACCAGTCTCCAGATTTTTCTTTTCATTTCTGATCTAGTTGAGTTAATTGAGTTTCCTATGTTTGACTGAAAACTGCATTCTTTCTTTCTTTATTTGTTTAGGTGTTTTTTGAGGCAGGGTCTTAACTATATAGCTCTGGCTGTCCTGAACTCACTATGTAGACCAGGCTGGTCTCAAGCTTGCAGAGAGAGTGCTGGGAATAAAGGCATACACCACCACACCCAGCTTAAAACTGTATTTTTAAAATGTTTTGTTTTGTTTTATTGATATGGGCACTCATTCTAGCCCAATCTAGTCTGGAGCTCACTATGTAGCCCAGGCTGGCCTCAATTTCTTGATACTCCTGAAGAAGCCCCATGTTAGGATTGCAGGCATGAACCGTCACACCCCTGCTGAAACTGTAGTTTTTGAAATGGTGTGTATTGTCTAGGTCACACTGCTTAGCACATGAAGAAAGCAAGTTTTTAGGCTCATGTGGGAGGGGATGATGCTCATGTGTAACATAGTGCTGTGTCCATCTTGTGGGGCTCTTGACATTGACTGCAGACCTTACTAACATTCCGAGAATAGCTCGCACACACCTGTGAAGGAGAGTTCTTGTGTCGGGTCCACTTTCAGTTTCACTCCTTTGCCAATTCCTTTTTTTTTTTCCTTTTCTTTTTCTTTCTTGCTTTCTTTCTTTTTTTTTTTTTGAGATTTATTTTACCTATAGGAGTGTTTTATCTGCATGTATGTATCAGGTCAGAACTGGAATTGTGGGTAATTGGGAGTCATCATGTGGGTGCTGGGAACCGGATCTAGGTCTTCTGCAAGGGCAGCACATGCTCTAAGCCACTGAGCCATCTCTTCAGCCCATGGAGAGATTATTTTTAAGGAAATCACTGGTAACTAGAAGCATCAATGCTTAAAAATGGTTGAACTGCTTTTTCTGCTATGAAATACTAATACAAATCTTGTCTCCCAAATTTGAGGATTGAATGTGTATGCCACCACACGTGGCCACCCCTGCTTTTTGGTAGTCCTAGTTGGCCTCACTAGTGCTGGGATTAGAGGCAGGCATTACCACATTCTGCATGATAAATCTCAGCTTGTAAGTATAGATACTCAGGTTTATTTCATGCTTCTGTAGACTGTCCAGAACAATAGTATTTTCTTTAAATCTATTAGTTTTGTAACCTCCATTCTCTTAGCCTGATATATAAGACTTGAGATCACTTAAATAATTCCATACTTGAAGCCTTCTTTTAGAAGGGAAGATCTTACTGTGCACCTCTGGCTAGTCAATAATTTGTTATATAGACCAAGCCTGCCTTGGCCTTGCAGAGATCTGCTACCTCTGCCTCCTGAAGGCACCACCATGCTCAGCTTGAACCTGTTTTTCATGGTACAGATAAGAAAGATACAAAGTGTGATGCATCACTGACTATGTTGACCTACCTCTGGGCCCAAATTTATAGTGCCTTTTGGCTTGTTCACCCTGTGATATTTAAGAATATGAATGAATAGTGGGCCTTTGGTACACTATTTGCCTTTTTTTTTCTGCAGCTATAGCAATAGATTTTTGTTCATGGAGACAGGTGTTTTCATTTCCTTCTCACCCTCCTCCGCTGGACATCTTTATTTGGAGCCCTAGAATGAATGGCCTTGGTGGGTGGGATGGGAGGCATTGTGGGGTTCAATGGTAGAGCACTTGTATAGCATGCACCAGGGGTTTAGTCACAACACGGAGAAAGAAAACACTGGAAAGAGCAAATCTACCTGTCAGATATTAAAAATGAACATTTTTGTTATCTTCACAATAACTTTTTTTGAGATGGGGTTTTAATGTAGCGTAGTCTGGTCTTTGTTGATATGAGAACGTCTAGGCTGTCCTTGAACAGCATCTTCCTGCTTTAGCCCCTCAAATACTTTCTGTTGTGTTGTTTTCATTACTTTATAACTGTTTTGTTTTCTTGGTAACTCGGGGTCTAGACGGGATGGATCACTGAGGTGTGTGCATGACCTCCAGAGGCTGAGATTACAAACCTCTGTCACTGAGCTTGGGTTCAGTCTTCAGTACTTGTATCCTAATACATTTAATGGCTGTTTTTAAAAACAGCAAAAGTAATTAAAAATATTTTTAGTTTAGCATTGAATATCTGAAATAACTTATCTAGTGAGATGTGTTCATATCTTTAGACATCTCATAGCTTGTCCTTCCATAGGATCATGTTAAACATTGCCACTCTCATTTCTCACTTTACACTTGTATTTGTGAGTTACATAGTTTTTATTTTGAATGATCGTACAAAATAATGGATTTTTTCTTTGTTCTTTCTTTCTATCTTTTTCTCTCTCTCTCTTTTGTGGCTTTTTCAAGACAGGATTTCTCTGTGTGGCTCTGGCTGTACTGGACTTTGTAGACCAGGCCATCTGCCTGCCTCTGCCTCCCAAGTGCTGGGATTAAAGGTGTTTGCCACCACACCCAGCAATAATGGGTTTCTTTATAACATTTTTGAGCTGCGTTCATATTCACATCCTATCGCCTACTTTTGCTTACTTGTTTGTTTGCTTGCTATTGTGATCTTTTTGTAAAGATTACATTTGTGTATTTAGTCTTGTTAACACATACATATGATTTCATATGTGGAGATTCAGAGGAAAACTTTCGGGAGTCAGTTCTCTTCCACCATGTGGGTATCAGGGACTGGTGACAAGTGCCTTTATCCGTCGAGCCAGCTATACAGACTTTGCTATTTCTGAGACTGGATCTTACGTAGCCCACTTCATTCTCCATTTCCTTGTGTAGAGGATGGCCTTGATCTTGATCTTCCTACCTCCATCTGGCAGGTGATTTCTTTTATCATTATAAACGTCCACCACCCAACATTTTAAACATGGTATCTTTCACGTATCTGTAGTATGACATGTCAAAACTGTGAACTTCCTCAAGCCTGCTAACTCAATTCTGCTGTGTTTCTCTCAGCATCTCAAAATACTTCCTGCCATTCCTGTGTGAGTCGTGCCATGCCTCTGCTATCAGTCAGTATGAGGACTTTAGGACTTCAGGTCTCATAATGCTGAGGATTTAAACCCAGGCCTGTCATGGATTGTAGGCAAATGATCTACCACTGCACTATACCCCCTGCCTGGGAATTCCTTTTGTTGAGCTTTTCTTTGATTGGGAATTTGTATGTTTTTGAGACAGAGTCTCACTATACAACTCTGGCCTGGAACTCACTATGTACACCAATCTGGTTTTAAACTCAGAGATCTTCCCACCTCTGCCTCCCAAGTTCTGGGATTAAAGGCATGTGCCACCATACCCAGCTGCCAGCTTTGTTTTTTTTTTTTTTTGTTTGTTTGTTTTTTTTTTTTTTTTTTTTTTGCTTGGTTTGGTGTTTATTGTTTTGTTTTTTGTTTTTTTTTTCCAGTGGTACTAGAGATCAGCTTTGTATGCTAGGAAAGTTATCTGTTGACGAGCTGTATTTCTAGCCTTTTCTTTTTGAGGCAGGACCTCTCACACTTGTAGTCCAGGCTTACTTCAAACTGAAAGCAATCCTTTTGCCTCCATCTCCCAAATCTGGGATTTGGTTCTTAGCCCTTTAAATTTTATTTGTTTAGATTTCATCTCACTACGTAGCTTTGGCCTGGAACTCACTATGAAGACTAGGCTGGCCTTGAACTCAGATTTATCTGCTTCCTGAGTACCAGGGTTAAAGGTGTACACCATCAAATTAGCCTCGCCTTTGACCTTTACTTGGATTATGGGAATTGAACTCAAGTCTTAAGATTTTGAAGCAAGTTCTCTCAGTAGCTCATTAGTAGCTGTATTGGAGCACGTTAGGCTTCACTTATTGTCTTGGTTATAACTGCCTCTGGTTACAGTTGTAGAGTGGGTGCTTATGAAAAGATGGCAGCCCTCAAACCGCTGCAGAGGGTGAACGAGATGACTGACTCCACTAAGTGCTCCCCTAACCTCGCAGCAGGCATGTAGACACAGTGACAAGCTATTTAGAAAAGAGCAAACTGAATTTGCTTCAGAAGCAGTAATTTGCTGGCTCCTGCCTTAGATTGCTATAGTTTTCTTAACTTTTCCTCCAGACAAATCTTGAAATATTGTTTGCCTTTGATATGTTAAAAAAAATGTTTGGACAGGCCCAGGGTGTTGGCTGACTTGGCTTGCCACACAGGACTTTATCTGAGTTTGGATCCCTGGCACCCACATAGAGAAGGAGGAGCAACAGCATGTGCCTTTAATTCCAGCCCTGGATGAAGCAGATACAGGATCCCTGGAGTCCACTGGACAACTAGGCCATCACAGATTGGTGAGCTCAGGGTTCAGTGAGGAACACTGTATCAAAAAATACTGCATGGCTGGTGAAATGACTCTGTGTTAAGGATGCTTGCCGTGAGAGCCTGGAGACCTGAGTTCCTTCCTGGAAACGCATAGTAGGAAGAGAGACTGGACCTCCATGTGTGTGCTGTGGTGTCCATGCATATACACACAAATAGTAAATGTAAAATACACATCATGAAGAATGACAGGAGAACACTTGCTCTGAACCTCTGGGCTCCCAGCACATACTAGGCACACACATAACTCTCTCTTCTCTTGTTTGTTTCTCCCTGTTTTTCTGCTGTGCTGGCGTGCACTTGCTGCTTGGAGCTCACTGAAGTCCTACAGGTCTGGATTAGAGGAAAGCTGGTGGTTGCTGCTGTCTTTCCTGTTAAGTAAAAGGCACAAAACCTAGAAACACACTCACTTGGGGATGTACCTACAGAGGAGCTCACACAGTTCCCTGATTGCCTCCTACGTAGTGAATTTTAGAATTTAATGCCTTTTAGGTACCAGTTTCGTTTTCGTTATTGCTAAAACTTTGTACTGAGGGTAGCTGGGTATTATTTTGTTTCTGGATCATTCTAGGTTTGCTTATGTTTTCACTACGATCATAGCTGACTTCAGCACCCATACAGAGCCAGAAAAGCAGCCAGTTTCCTGGGAGCCGATAACCCTATTTAGTCCCTTTATAGATCAGTTGCTGCTTCTCCTCAGGCTTATTCCTCAAGGTGTCAGGATCCATCAGGAAGACCAGATAGAGCAACAAACAGTGGTAACTTGTAACATTAGGGAAGCTTCAAGGTCAAAGACCAGTCTAGATTACATGGCAAGGCCCTGTCTCAAGCTCCTTCTTTCTGTGTCCCCAAGAGAAAGGAAGACAAAAAGAAAAAGAAGCTGAGCTGACCTTAAAGTCAATGCTTGTGATACTGAGGAGGATTGCTGTGAGTTCAAGGCCAGTTTAGAATAATGCATAGTTAGCAGTAGCAGGCTAGCTAGAACTATATATATAGCAAGGCCCTGTCTCAGGAAAAATCATCAGAGCTTGTGGTGCACACCTGTTGTCCTACTACCTGGGAGGTAGCAACAGGAGTGTCAGAAGTTAAAGGCCATCATCAACCAACAGTTCTCTTTTTAAAATTTATTAATTTTTATGTACATTTGGTGTTTGGCATACATACATGACTCTATGAGGAAATCAGAGCCACTGAAATTTGAGTTGCAAACCACACAATTGTGAGCTGCCATATGGGTGCAGAGGAACCAGGGTCCTCTGGAAGAGCAGCCATGCTCTAACCACTGAACCATCTCTAAGAATTTGTGAGGGTCTTGATAATATATGTTAATGTCTTTTTTCTTCATTTTTTGTTTGTTTTTGTGGTTAATGTTGAGAAGAGGATCTCGCTGTAGACCAGGCTGGCCTTGAATTTTCTGGCTTTTTGCACTAGCTGATTCCTTTTTTTTCTATTTATGCTAATTTGAAATTTGAAATGACGGCCAGGTGCAGTGGTACACACCTTTGATCCCAGCACTTAGAAGGCTTTCATCCCAGATATTAGGATGAAAGGTGTGAGCTGCTATGCCTGGCCTTGGAGCCAGCTTTTTGCTTGTTGTTTGTTTGTTTGTTTGTTTTTCGAGACAGGGTTTTTCTGTGTAGCCATAACTGTCCTGGAACTTGCTCTGTAGAACAAGCTGGCCTCAAACTCAGACCTGCCTGCCCCTGCCACCCCAGTGCTAGGATTAAAGGTGTGCCCTACTGCCTCAAGAATCTGTATCTTAAAGATGGCTCCATGAAGTGGGGGTGGGGTGGGTTGGAGCCTACCTTTAATCCCAATACTCAGGAAGCAGAAGAAGGCAGGTCTCTGAGTTCAAGGCCAGCCTGGTCTATAGAGCAAGTTCCAGGACAGCCAGAGCTACACAGAGAACCCTCGGGGGAAAAATTGGCTCCAAGACCAGGGATAGTACATACCTTTCATCCCAGTATTTGGGTGACAGAGGCAGGCAGCTATCTGTGAAAGAGGCCAGTCAGGACTGCATAGGGAGGAGACCCTGTCTCAAAACGAACAAACAAAACTCACACACAAAGAAACGGGGAAAAAGATGGCTCTCATTTGTGCAAAGGTTTGCTGTATGGTGCACACAGTTCTAGCCTAGTAGCCTCTGGCCTTACAGGAACGCCATTCCCTTAAAAGGAGAAAAGGCCTGATGACAGATGGGCTGGTGTAACATCTAGGAAGAGCTAAGTAAGATAGCTTTTTACTGAGGTATTAAATCTTTTGCTAACATACAAAACTTAAATGTGCAGCTCAGTGAGTTTATAGATCCGCACATGTGTGTAAAAGTAGCACAGGTTGAAGTGTCAAAGGTTTTCAACACTTCAGAAGGCTCTCTTGGGTCTTGGGTCTTGTGTATGGTATGTGCATGCCAGCCTTAAGAGTACTTTTACTAGCAAGTAAAATTTCACTCTGGTGTCTTGGGTCCTTGAGGACTATATGAAAACCTTTGGTTGTCACAGTCAGCAGCCACCGTGGATGTCAGGATAAACTGAATAATTGTTGGCAATGAACTGAACCCTTAACCCTAGCAGTCTGGAGGGGCCAGGCCCGGGTGTGGTAGTGGTCTGCCGTTTTCTCCTACTTTTTGCACAGATGGCCCTGGTCTTCATGGCACTGGCAGCAGCAGTTGGAGCTGCTATCTTTTTTTTCTGCTCTGTATCTTATTCCTTATTTCCATTACTCCCCTCCAATCTGTTTCTTTTCTCTGTTCTCCAAAAACATCAAGGGTTTTCAGATTTTTCCTTGGGACAGAGCAGTAAGCAAGCATTTTCCCTGTTGGTGAGATCAGACTGGTTCTGTAGGAAGCCCTGGGCTTTCTTTCACGTGTTGTGTTTGCTAAGTGACTACTAGAGAGCTTCTTGGGGAGTCCCTGAAGCCGCATATAGCCAACCTTCAAAGTTCCCGATTAGGAGGTGAGGAATGGCACACACTTTTAATCCAAGCACTGGGGAGGCAGAGACAGGCAGATCTCTTGAGTTTGAGGACAGCCTGGTCTACAGAATGAGTTCTAGGACAGCCAGAGCTACACAGAGAAACCCTGTCTCAGAAAAACCAACCAACCAAACAAACAATAAACCTATTATACCCTAAAATATACTCAGAGGGCATGAACAGCTCTGTGAAAAGTCAAGTGACAAGGAATGGTCATTATCTGCCTTTTTAGTCAAGGTCTTTTTGTTGTTTTACTTTTTTTGTTGTTGCATGTTCTGTTGTGACAGGGTTAGACAGCAGACTGGCCTCACACGTCCCATGTAGCTGAGGGTAACTTCTAAACTCTGCTCTTCCTCCCTTCTCCCAAGGACTAGATTACAGCAAACACCACTGTGCGGTTTGTTCAGTGTTTTGAATTATTGTTCAGTATTTTGCCTTGGTGAATCCATTTGTCAAACTGAGCTTGTCTTAGGTTTGTAGCAGGACAGACTTATATCTTGTTAAAACTTTATATTTGGCTTCATAAGAGACATTGTATAAGTGGAAGTAGTGATATCTGGCAGGTAATAGCTGGCAGGTAATAGCTATGATAGTGGATTTTGTTTCCTTTGTTTCCGATTGAGTAATAAATTGCCAGTTAAGGAGCAACAAGTTAGCCAGTAGACGTGAGAGAGGTAACATTTGTGGGAAACTGAGGTGATTTGGCATTCTGGCCTGTACCTTTACTTGGCCTTGGCTGAGAAACAATAGGAACCCTTGGTGTTTCCGGTCCAGGTCCAGATGCAGCGTGCTTGCTGTGGTTGCCTTCTGCTGTGCCAGCAATGGCAGCCACCATATGTCTGAGAGAGTTGTCCTAGGGTAGGGAGCTGGCCATGCTACCACATATGCCAAGGCTTTATCCCCTAAGCCAGAGCTTTTAGGGTTGGGTGGGGGTTGCTGAGGATAGAACAACAAAGAAAAGGAACAGTAGCTCATCTAGACATGCTGAGGTTTGCAGGAAGTATCTAGGATACTTTTTACTTTGTGTGTTCTCTGTCTTTCTCCACTGCTAACAGCACTCCTTCCTTTTGCCTGCATTAACCACAAGTAACCAGTCTGGCTGGGGCTGGGGAGGTAGTGAGTAGCCATTTCTGTAACATCAGCCCTACAGCAATCACATGGGCAGGGGATGCCTAACAGAGAATGGAGATGTTCAGCTTGCATTCTTAACTGGAAATAAAGTGCTCTCCTTATTCTCGTCCTGCAGGTCGGTGAGCTGGTAAAGGTTACGAAGATTAATGTGAGTGGTCAGTGGGAAGGGGAGTGTAATGGCAAACGAGGTCACTTCCCATTCACACATGTCCGTCTGCTGGATCAACAGAATCCTGATGAGGACTTCAGCTGAGTATAGCTCAACAGTTTGCTGACAGATGGGAACAATCTGTTTTTTCCCCCCAATTGCCATCTATCCAATTTTCTTACAGGTGTCAAAAGCAGTCTAGTTTATATAAGCATTCTGTTACCTGTGATCTTTTTAAGACTGAGTTACTCCATTCTCACTTGTATTTACCATATTCAGGGTACGAAACCGGAGGGCTTGTGTGGTTGACTTCTGAATTGGCAGTTTTAAGTGGTAGTGGCCGTGCCTGTATGAGAGGAGCTAAATACTTGACTCCTTTCTCTTGGGCAATACAGATCAACCTGTGGAAAACTGATGGGCAGGAAAAGAATGTTACACACTGCTTACCCTGATGTCTTCAGTGGTTCTGTTCTCATTCTGAAACCATACTATCACTGGCAGCAGACTGTCCTCCCACTCACATGAAGTAATCACGCACTGTGGGGTAGTGCCCAGTGGGGTTGCATTTGCATTTACGGACCATGACCACTGTAGGACTCATTCTGACATTTCAAATCCTGAGGGTTCTGAGAACACTACTAGAGGCATTTGTCTTCCTTCCCGGTCACTGCTTCATACTTTTCTTGGATTCTTTCCTTGTTACTCTCCCCTGTACTCGTAAGTGGCTTGATTCTTAGGATAGTGTATGTCTTCATTCCAGTGAGAAGCAGGATATGCAGAGCACTTTATTCAGTGCAGAGCTTTAAGCCGGTATTGGACTCACTCAGTGGATAAACTCGCAGCTCTCTGCTGTCCCCCAGGGGGCATCGTAGGTTCACACTGCTACCACAGCTACAGAGACTTCCTTGCTGATGGGATGGATCCGCCAGGGCTATTTCTCCTGATTGCTGGCATCCTAATGGGATGCTTAGAGTTTTCAGATTCTACTTGGAGTGGAAGGACCAATCACTTACTATATCCTATAGAAGGTATCAAGGGCCAAACTCTGCCCTCTGTATCATGTGCAAGTTGTATAAAAGGCAAGTTAGAATTCTATGCATTTGGGGTAGAATTAGTACTTTTAAAACTGTGCCAGTCAGAAATTACTTTGTATTATTTTATGTGGCCAAAATAGTTCTTGAAGTACAATTATAAATTGCCTTCACTTGGGTTTTTCTTTCACCAGATTTAGTTTACAAGCCCTTTAAAGTATAGAGTGATTTATATGGGGTCAGACGCTCCAGAGAATAGGCCTCTGGGGCCACAAATGGCTTAGTTTCTTTAGACTGTAACATGAGACTTTCAGGTGAAAAAGGCATTTGCTGGTCTCTAATGTGGTGTGACCAATAGAAACACCTTATTCTTTGCTTTGAACCTCATTTAAATAATGTACCTTCTTAGTTGTCCTGTATAGATGAATATGATGAATTTGCATTCTCTGAACATATACCAAATCATGGTATTACAGACTAGCATATTGCTTAGCACATGCGTGTAGACATTTTGTGCAAGAGAATGAGCAGAGTACAGAAACTTGTTACATGGCCCAGGGTTACCAGTTGGCATAGGATCGCATACATTACCACAGGCAACTGAATGAATTGACGCTAATTTACTACTTTTTTTTTTTTTTTTTACCTCACTCTAAGGTAAATGCTTGATAAAAACATTAATGTTCAACTTGGTAGATGCTGGCACAGTCTAAGCTCATGATGGGTGCTTGATGTTGAACGGACAGAGTCCACCTGGCTATGTGTTTCAGTTTTTAATTAGTATAGATACTGTAAAATCAAATGCATATTAAGTCTTGTTTCCCTAAGCCAGGTGTACCCGTGGCACATGGCTTTAGTCACAGCACTTGGGAGGTAGAGGCAGGTGGATCTGTTAGTTCAAGGCCAGCCTGCTCTACAGAGTGAGTTCCAGGACAGCCAGAGTTACAAAGTGAGACCTTGTCTCAAAAACAAATAAACAAAAATAATAATAAAAATTTAAAATCTGTTCCTGAAATCATGGCATCTAAAATATTTGTAGGAAATCCCTGTTACAACTAATTTGAATGTTGGTATTTTCTTTTGCCTATGATGCTGGCTTGTACTGTCTCTTCATTATTTGTGGTATTAATGGGATACACGGCTCTACTCAAATCATAAGACCTCCTCAGTGATTAGTTTGTTCAAAGCCATTACATGAACTGTTTGGTTGGATTTGGCTGGGTGTAGCAGTTATTGGACCTCAAGAGATCAAAGGACTTACAGATATCTTCCAAAAATAGCAAGTGCTAGAGTCCTCGTCAAGTGCATATGTACATTGTCACAGAGCAAAGTAAACTGAAATTGGCTGCTATGTTTTATATAATCACCTCTGCAAGAGCCCATTTTTGGATACTAATGTTTGACATCGTTAATTCTTATTAATTTGTTGGAATTGTTTATTAATAATGCAAATAGATAACTTTAATTTTCCACAAGTAACATTTCACTATTAATGGTTTGAAATGGGTGATAAGCAAACCAATTTGAAATAAAATATGAACATGTGCCATTGTATTATAACACTATACACTTTCTTGACAGTTAAATTTTAAGAAGTTTTTTTTTTGTAGCATGTATTGTATATGTTTATAGTATATGTAGTAAATAAAAGAATGGCCAAATGTTTGGCTTGGTGATCTTTTGGAGAAAGTAATCTTGGAATATTTGTCACAAAATAGAGTGTTTATGTTTTTAAGGACTAGAAGGTGTGTGTCTCAACTGCCCACAGTCACATAACTGTTACACATGTGGTGGGTTAGTCGTTGGCGTATGCTATGGGATCTCTAGAAAGTATGGCACTACTGTGAGGGGAGCATGAAGAAAACCATCTATATGAAATCTAAAGAGCATGTTGTGAATAGAGAACACCAGACTTGTCTGGAAATGGCCACCTGTGTGTGTGAGGAGATGCCTGCTAGAGAACGCCATAAACGTTAGACAGCGGGTCTTCAGGGTGCTGCTGTAGATCCTCCATTAGTTTCTTTTTAATGTAAGTAGCAAATGCTCAGGGAAAGTTAGAAAAGTGAGAACAACAGAAGTAGACTGTACATTTCTGTATGTTCATGCCATCCTTCCCCAAAGTGTGTGTGTGTGTGTGTGTGCTCCAAATTGACCTCATTTACTCTGGTATTGGTACTGTGGTCTGTACCCATTATTCCAGTACTTTCAAGGCTATGGACTTGAACCCAGGAGTTCAAGGTCAGCCTGGACATCTTAGTAAGACCACTGTCTACTAAACACCTAACAAATTTTGTCTATTGCCTATATGATACTCTGCCTTAGACTCAACACAGCCTCACAGTGGCTGCCGGGACCTATAAGTGTGTCAGTGTAGAGCGGAAGGAGGCCGGCTCCTCTGCAGGGATCCCGCTTTGGCGTATGCAAGTTTAATAGCGAGGTGAACGTGTATTTCAATTTTTTGACAATAAAATAAACTGTGCAACTTTTGTTTCACTACGTTGAATGTTGGGTTCCTTTACATAGTCTCAGAGTGTTCACACAGCCCATGTTTAGCTCAGGGAACTTTAGGTGAGCGGATGCCTACAGAGGAGAACTGTGGGAAGAGGCCCAGGTGGAGGAGTGGGAGCTGAAGGAGCTTCACCGCATTCGCCCTGTAAAGAAAGCACGCTGGGAGCATGCATTTCCGAATTTCCTCTGGCCAGTCTTCCCTTCAGCTGTGATCGGGGTCAGCTTCTGCTGTACACACACACACCTTACATCCTTACCCTTGTACTCTTGGCTTCAACTTCAACGTCTTTAGAGATGTTCTCAAACCTCCGAGTCCTATTCCCCCCCATCCCAAGACAGGGTTTCAGGCTGGTCTCAAACTCAGTAGATCCACCTGCCTCTTCCTCCTGAGTGCTGGGATTAAAGGCGTGCGCCTTTGCCCTTCAATGCTTACGGATCATTTGGTGATTGTTTGGCTCAGCTATAACAACTCCAGCAAGGTGAGAGTAATGTTTCTGTTGTTTTGTGGGTGGTGGTGTTGGTTTTTTTTTTTTGTTTTTTTTTGTTTTTTTTGAGACAGTTTCTCTGTAACCTTGGCTGTCCTGGACTCTGTAGACTAGGCTGACCCTGAACTCACAACAATCCACCTGCCTCAGCCTTCTCAGGTGCTAGGATTAAAGGTGTGTGCCTGGCTCACTTCCAGTTTTATATAAACACTTCTCACACTTGTGTCTATAGAAATACACATACCTGCAAGTTAAAAGCTGGGTCCACATGACAAGAACATGCTATTTGTCTTCCTCAGTTTGGGCCACATCAATAATTTACAATTTCATGCATGTTCCTGTAAACATTCTTTTAAGTTGTGTTTGTGTCAAGTGTGAGTGAATGATGTGTGTGGCTACCTACAGAATCCAGATGAGGCTGTGTGAATCCAGATGAGGCTGTGTTCCCCTGGACTTGAAGTTACAGGCAACTATGATCTGCCTGACATGTATGCTAGGAACCAAACTCGGGTCCTCTGAAGAAGCAGCACATTAGCCACTGAGCCACTGCTCCAGCCAAATGTTATTTTTATGGCTGTTGATTCCTTTGTGGATTTGTACATTTTCATATCCATTTATTCCCGGAGACATAGGTTGGTCACTCCTTGCTTGAACTGTAGAGTGGCAGTAAACATGCAACTAAGATTTAGATCCTTAGAGCATGTGCCAGAGACTGGTAAAGCGAGGCCATGTGTAGCTTCATACGGTAATGTTCTATTTTTAGACTGTTTAGAGACCCGGGTGTCAGTCATAGCCCCAGGTGCCCTGGATTTGCTGTGTGCACCAGACTGGTCTCAAACTTGGATCTTCTTGTCTGCCACATTCTGGGATTAAAGGCACTTGCCGATGTCTGACTAGATGTATTCCTTAAGCTTTTGTTTCGTTTCATGTTTCTGTGTGTGCACATGTGTTTTGTGTGTGCCATGACATGCATAGGAAAGTCAAAGGATAACCTTAGAGTTTTCTACTTCCGTTGTTTGGAGGCCTGGGACTCATGTTACTAGGCTTGGTTGCAGGCACCCAGTTAGCCATCTGGACAGCCTAGTAGTTGTTTGGTTGGGTTTTTTTGTTTGAGATAAAAGTCTCACGTACTTACGTAGCCCTACGTAGCCTAGGTTTGCCATTAGGTCATGGTAACCTTACTGCCTCAGTCTGCTGAATACTAAGATTGCATACATGAGCCACCATGTCCAGCCAAAGCAAAGGTGTCTAAGAGATTAGAAATAACCTGAAATAGCTCATAAGCCAGTCTGTATACCGAAACCCTGGGCTTGTATGTAAAATGAATGGTGAGCTGTACCTCAGTGAGGTCTAGGGGTTCAGCTCAGCGATACTGAGCTGGCCCAGCATGTCCAAGGCTCGGGGCTCAGCCCCCAGTATTTGAAAATAAGAAATAAATCAGTCTGTGAGCCTATGATGGAAATACTGCTTGTTGAGCAGTGAATGTACCTGAGATGGTGCTTGCCCAACACAAGAGGCTTGGATGAGATCGCCTAATCCCTTATAAACTGGGTGTGATGGTGTGAGCCCGTAATCCCAGCATTTGTGGGTTTTGGTTGGCTGGTTTGTTTATTATTGGTGGGTTGTTTTTTTTTTTTTTGGGCGGGGGAAGGGTTGTTTCAAGACAGGGTCTCACCACATAGCCCTGTGTGTCTGTGTGTCTGTGTGTCTGTGTGCTCTCGAGAGTGTGCATGCACACGCTCTCATGCCGGGTGTCCTCAAACTCGTTAGAGATCTGCCTGCCCCTGCCTCTGAAATGCTGGTATTAAAGGTTTTTTATCAGCATGCTCTGCTAATTCTACCATTTGGGAGGTGGACACAGGAGGATCAGAAATTCAAAGTTGAGCCACATGTGGTGGCACCTGCCTTTAATCCCAGCACCAGGGAGGCAGAGGCAGTGGGGAATCTCGAGTTCAAAGCCAGCCTGGTCTACAAAATGAGTTCTAGGCCAGATTGGGCCACAGAGTAAGAGACCCTGTCTCAAAAACAACAAAGATCCGGGCTTGGGACATGGCTCAGTGGTTAAGAACACATGCTTGTCCTGCAGAAGACCTGGGTTTGATTCCCTTACCCACATAGCAGCCTCAACCATCTGCAACCCCAGTTCCAGGGAATCCTATGCCCTTTTCTGACTTCTGCAGGCACCAGGCGTGCACATAGTGCACATATGTACACAGACAAAACATGAGCTAAATCTAAAGACAAAATCTATAAAGATACATGTACTATGTAAGGATAAAGCCGACTTCTGAGAAAGTTGTAGGAAATTGATTGTGTAATGGATATTAGATGTTACAATGAATGAATATGTAAATAACAACTAATGAAGCCAGGCATACCTTTCACCCTAGCACTTGAGAGGCAAAGGCAGGCAGGTCTCTGTGTTTGAAGCCAGCCTGGTCTACAGACCGAGTTCCAGGACAGCCAGAACTATGTAGTGAGACCCTGTCTCACTAAGAAACAACAAACTTAATGGCATTAGTTGTGCCATAAGATACTCTAAAGATAGAGGAAGCCTAGAAACAAAGGCCAAATTTAAGGAGGGAGGGTAAGGTTCTTCCTTACCTCCAGAGTGAACACCACCTCTGGCTGTATTAGTCCTTTCCCAGAACTTGAAGGTGATAAACATGGATTGTTTTGAGCTTCAGGGTTGGTGGTAATTAGTTACAGCAGCATAGGAAAATCTTACAGTGTATCTCCATGAGCCTTTTGCTTCAGCTGCATTATTTTTAGCACAGACTCCCAGGAGTAGGGTTACTGAGTCACTGCGATTGCTACATCTATCTCGTTTTCCAAAGGCTGTTTACCAACCATCAGTGCTCCCATCTCTTTCAAAGATCATTTGGAAAACTTAAAATGTATCTCACGTGAACATGTGACTTTACTTGATTGATTATTGTTTGTGTGTTTTACCTTTAGCCACAGCCTGGCTTTGTGGTGGCTGTCCTGGACTTGCTGTGTAAACCATGAAGGTCTTGTATTTGGATTTTTTTTTTTTTTTTTTTTGAGATAGGGTTTCACTAGTAGCTCTAGCTGTTCTGGAATTCACCTTGTAGACCAAGCTGGCCTCGAACTCACAGAGATCCTCCTGCCTCCTGAGTGCTGGGATTAAAGGCATGCACCACCACTCCTGGCCCTGAAAATACATCTTAATTAAAGAACCAAAACCTCTTGCTTTCCTGAGGATTGAACCCAGGACCTTGTGCATGCCAGATAAGGATTATTTTATTAAACTATACCCCAAACTCTATTTTAAAAAAGAAATTCATATGAGGGTTTTATTAGGATTAATTCAAACTAGCCTCAACCTGTAGATCATTTTGCCACAGCCTCCTGAGTGCCAGGGGTACACACTTGTGGCACCATTCCTGGTTTAGTTGTTTACATAAAGTTTGCCAGGTGTGGTGGCATACATCTATAATCGATGCAGTGTCAACCAGATCTCTGTGAGTTCAAGGGCAGCCTGGTGAACAAATTGAGTTCAGCCAGGGCTACATAGTCAAGACCCCCATCTCAAAGAAAATATAAAAAAGATTTGGGGTCTGGAGAGATGGCTCAGAGGTTAAGAGCACTGGCTGCACTTCCAAAGGTCCTGAGTTCCATTCCCAGCAACCACATGGTGGCTCACAACCATCTTTAATGAGATCTGGTGCCCTCCTCTGGCATGCAGATGTACATGCAGACAGAGTACTGTGTACATAATAGAAAATAAACAAACAAATAAATAAATAAGCAAAGCAAATAAAATATTAGTTTTCACAGCTGGGCATGGTGGTTCCCACCTTTAACCAGTCCCAACACTTGGGAGGCAGAGGCAGGGGAGTCTCTGTGAGTTTGAGAACAGCCTAGTCTACATTTTGAACTCCAGAACAGTCAGGGCTACGTTGTAAGACCCTGCCACAACACACCCTCACATATTTCCCAAGTACAGACCAGGCTGACTGCCAACTCTTGTTTTGTTTTTATTCATGATGAATCAATAAATGGGTCTCAACTTGTGGGTCTCAACCCCTTTGGGGATCGACTGACCCTTTCACAGGAGTCACACAGACCATCAGAAAACATTTACATCAATTCATAACAGTAGCGAAATTACAGTTATAAAGTAGCAACAAAAATAACTATGGTTGGGGTCACCACAGCATGAGGAACTGTATTAAAGGGCCTCTGCTCTCTTCCTTGCAGCAGACTCTAGGCTTCTCTTCATCCTCCTTAATGCTTGTATCACAGGCATGTGCTACACTTCTGACAAGACTTTTCAAATTACATCATCTGTGTGAGTCTGTGTATGTGTGTGGGCACAAGAATAACAGTCTCTCCTCTCTCTCTCTCTCTCTCTCTGTGTGTGTGTGTGTGTGTGTGTGTAGGCCAGGGAACACTTGGAGTCAGTTTTATCCTCTGCCATGAGGTCTCCAGGCTTGCCTAATGAAACATCATGCATGGACCCAAGATTTTTTGCCTCCC